TTAATTTAAGGAATAAGAAGAGGGTTGGCTTTGATTTGTTGGCCTTTTTTTAAATAAAAAAAGTAAAACAAGGGGTCCTAAAGAAATAATTTCCCAGATCTCAAAGGCTATACTTGATTAACTGAGAATTATTTTTAAAATTAATTTCTCTTTCCAAGTCAATGAGAAGGTAATCTGGAGTGGGCATTAGCTTACTTTGTTATTTTAGTCCTGGCATCAACCTTGGAATCAAATGCAGCTGGACAGGGTGCTGGGCCATCTTGTCTAGACTGTGCTTTTGCCAGGAAAGGTTGGACTGGCTGATACAGAAGGTCCCTTCCAACCTGGTATTCTTTGATTCTATGAATTATTTAACAACACTACCACATGCTTTCTCATTAATTCAGTTAAGAAAAAGCTGCTGATAAATATCAAAGAAATGCAGCTAAGAAATATGCAAAAGCTACTGTCAAGTTTTATCTTTGGCCTTTGTTAATCTGCAACCAATGAGTGTAGCCTTGACATGCACCATGCTGTCACTAGGCATATGACCCACCCAAAAGGGAACCACCAGGAAAATCTGAGTATCCAAGGAACTCTATCACTATCTCTTCAACTGCAGAACAGAAGACAAGATAGCAATCAATAGCATGACAGATTGTTAGCATCAAAAAAATGGTTTCCTGGCATGCAAACGAAGCAGGTGACACCTTGGCACACAGTGAGCTGACTGCGGTGCAGGCAGGACCAAAAGGGCATGTGACACACATTAGGTTTCAAGAGATAAAACTCATGGATTCTTCCAGAACTGGAAAGCACAGTATCTGTTTTACATGACAGTAAAATAGGTATCCAGACTCACATCTGATCCAACACTGATTAACACTGAATACAAACCAGACTTGCTTCTTTGTCATAATTTTGGATTAAGTCAAGCAGTTTAATACAGGGAAGTGAATAATCTGAAGATTTAGAGTCCAGCAAGGAAGTGACACAACAACACCCCTGACATTAGGAGGATAATTTATCTTATACAATGACATAAAGTAGCTTTGAGAGGTCAGGTGCATGTTTCTTTCCAATAACTGTCAATGCAATACAAGGTGAGAAGCTCAGATTTACAGGTCTACCTTTGGGATGCCTAAAGTAAAGTGGGAGGCAATGCACCCCACATACTCACTAACCCTTTATCCTATGGAAAGACAAAGACAGAAGAAGGTGACAGCGTTCCTCACACTCTCAAGCAATGGTAGGATCTTTGTTATTTCATGTGACACTACTTATTTGAACTATCTGAACTGCCCTCTGCTCAGTTTAAGTTTAGTTCTATTTGTCTTCGCTCTCCTCTCTCAGCCAACACACCCCATTTACGACAATCAACATATTCTCAAATTAAACTGAAATTCCATACAAAACATCTCCAAAAGATAAAGGATCTTCCAGAAGAAGGGGAGAGTGCCAAAGCACTATTCTTGCTCCGGAATTTGGGGCGTGTATTTCTATATGTTACTGCCAAGGCTACAGCTCTCCAGATCCTCAGGGCATACTAGAGCTGAGAACAGAATTACGCTTCAAAATCTGAAAAACCAACAAGCTTGTGAGAATTCAAACACAGTGGGCAAGCCAAAGCTTTCTTTATTGTTATTATGCAATTCAAATCTGCTTGATTAATTTTATGGAACCAAAATACATCAAGAAGAAAGAAGAAGGAATATATTTCCATCTAAAATGGGCAAAACTTTATGAAATTAAAGTTATAGAGCTTAAAATATTCCTTGGAGGTATCAATTCATTTACGTTGTTTATTTTTGAGAAATCATTATACTGGACAGTAAAAGGATAACAAACATTCTGGAGGAAAGAAATCAAACACACCTTTTTAAAAATAAAATAAAATGTAGTGCTCCAAAATAATTTACATGGGCCATTTTTTCACCTTTCTCCAGATCTAAATATTATTAAATTTTACTAAAGGTAAGACATGTACTTGTTCCACAAACAAAATTATCAGTAAAACTGCATAGAAATATCATATTTGGATAGTGAAAAAAATGAGTCAAAGTCTTCTGGTGTGGAATGGACATTATCAATACGTATGTTTATAGTTGCAGGCAAGATGGTAACGCAACTGTGCAACTAGGGACCACAACTGAGGACTGCATTGCCCTTAAAGTGTTCTCACAAGTCTGGTCCAAATTACCAATTACTATCTCTATGCCTGGTCAATAAGGTTACTCACCTCTTCTCATGTCACAGAGACAATCATATGCATTTAATCTCCCCAACATGCAACATTATATGGGCAGGGATAAACGCACATTGGGTATCAGAGATGAGACTGAATCCATAAGGCAAGTAACAACCAAACTGGTGCTGCTCCACGAGAAAGTAAAGACACTTTCTGCACTGTGCCTTACAGCCCAAGTGGGGAAACCTAAGCTGCTTTCAGGCTGATGGTGACCTTGTGAACACTGACTTTTTGAGGAAATTTAAAGGGTTTACATTATTTTCATAGCCCTGGGAGCTTGCTTTAGTAACAGTGCTGTGTCACATCAGAGCAGCCAACGCAGCAGGGGCAGCTGTGCTGCACTGCAGCCTCAGTATGTGATTCCCTAGCACTTGTCCCAGCAAGAGCTTTTCCATCTGCTTTTGTACTCCTAGAAGTTCAGGCACTCCACCATTAAGGTCTGCACCCAACGCAGTCCTAACAGTCTCCTAATGCCTCTCTAGTCCTACTCATGATCAGGAATATAGCAAGGATTAGGTGTATTCCTGGTATCTCCTTGTCTGGGAGAAGAGAAATGAAAATAAAATTCACCAAATTCTTCTTAAAAAGGAACCATTTAGTCAGCTAGCCAGTTATACTAACAGCAGCAGCATCATAACTGTATGGCAGTTTTTTAATAGGAAAGATGATAAATAAAGTAAAAACAGATCAACAAAAAGTATACACAACATGGCAAGTTTAGCCAGGTTCACATATCTTATTGGTGTTCTTGAAATGAGGAACACAAATGTACTGTTTGCAAACATGCACCTCTTTCCTCCAACCAAACTGGCTTGTAAGGCACATACTCAAGATAATACTGACAGGAATCTGTGCAGAGATTTCAGAGACAAGAATCTAGCTATATAACCCTACTGGAAGAATATTTCCCCAGAAGTAGTATCTATGTATGCACATGTTTATAGACTGTAAATATTTAGGCTCAACTACTTTTTCCATGGTGCAGAACTAGGAAATGCAGAATCAGTCTGCTACAGCTCATGGTTAACAAAAGAAAGTCAAGGTTTTACAATGTGAAGCCTTGTGAAAGACTTGGCAGTGCTCTGGTGCAGTTACCTACAGCAGCAGGATCAGCACCACTGCAATCCTGCTTTGGAAAGCAAGTGGGGAATGCATTACTCATCTAATCCCTGGGTAGTTTTTAGGAAGAAAATCTTGGCAGACAATGAAGATTGGGCCTTTAATCAAGACCTTGCCTTTACGTTTCATGAACAAGACATCCTAGAGCACTGGCTCAGTACTACCTCAGAAGAAAAACACTCACCTACAAGAACTGGCTTAAGAAACAGCTGGTTTCAGTTTCTAGATTTTCAGAGAAATCTAGCCGCATCTGACTGCATTCAGTGAATGGAAAAAAAAAGAAAGTGCCACACTGATTCTGTGTAACTGCATACAACTTCTCTGAGGTGCCATCACCGAAGAAAAAACAGACTGTTAGGTTACTGAACATTTTGTATTTCTTCTAATATTCTAGATATTTCAGAATACTATGCAATATTCTACTACCCAGAGAGCTCACAAATCAGTCTCCTAAAGTCAGAAGTAATTACCTATTTCTAGCTCTTTACTCTTGCCAATGGGAAGATGCCACAGGCAAAAATGAAGGGCAGTGCAAAAAGCAAATGGGTACTCCTTCTCTCCTTGTGATGCCTCCTGCACTAGTACATCTCTGGACTGTTAAGTAAGGGCTAATCACTAGTTTATGTCATATATTCAGTCTAGCACTGGCAGCAGGAACAGAGTGGTGGAGCACAGAACTATGTTTTACTGCAGAGATGCTGGAACATCACTAAGCCATAACTTCTGTGTGACACTGTGCCTGAATCTCAAACATCTCCAGTGACTGTAGTGAAATGTGCATCAGTACTGCCGATTCTCACAAGCCCCTGCTCAAATATGGCTATAAATATGCTGGCAAACAGAAATATCAGGAATTCTTTTCAGGCTGCCTTTGACATCACAGTATTTTACTAACGCAGTGTTCCCAGGCACCTCAAAAATCAAAAAGTTTGACATGTTCCACTACTTTCCTCTCATTTTACAATTTCACTACCAGAATATTGGATGTCCTGATTTCAAAATGGAGAAACTTCTGTTGCCTCAATTTGTAAAGAAGGTATTACCTAACCAGTACTGTGTATGTTATTAACTCTGACCGTAGTAAAACAGAAAATGTTGTATATATTACAGAAATGGTCAAAGGAATTTTCCATTCTGCATGAGAAAGTCTGTTCTACCAGATTACAAGAAAATAAAGGTACTGGGAAAATGATATAACAATACAAGTCAAGCAAAAAAAATTCCTGAAGATTGAAGGTGTCTTCCATCATAAATTAAATACAGCACAAGGGTGATTTAAAAAAAAAAAAAAAAAAAAAAGGAGAGGCAGGAAATTAGGGAGAAACAGAAGAAAAAACCTTTATTCATTAGAGAAAAAGAAAGAGATTATTTATCACCAAAGTGTTAAATTGAACTTGCTGCAAAATTGATCAGATCTCTCTAGACTCGGAAATACCCTCCGGCAATTATTGATCAAGAGCAGTGAATGTGCTACAGACCACGTTCATGTGCAATACCAAAAAAAAACAAACCAAAACAAAAAAAACAGGGAGGAAAGAACCAAAGTGTATTTAAAACATATATAACTTTGAAACACACTCAACTGCTGAGCTAATGATTGCATGAGTTATTGCAGCAGTGTGTATGAGGATAGATTGTCTTCAAGAAAACGTACCTGGCTAGATTGAATGCATCATCGATCAAGCCTGCTCGATTACTGACAGAGATAACCTGTGAGGGGCAAGCACAAAAATTGAACCATTTAGATTGATGGAACAGTGCAGGTTCACCTATCAAAGCAGATTTTAGGGATGAGAAGAGGAGCTTACCTCATGGTTCCTCGTTAGCTGATTAATTAGCAGCCTCCAATTCCTAATATCATAATTAACTCTAAAGTAGCCAGTCTGGTTGATGTTCCCCAGCAACCAATTTGAGTATTCCAAAGTGGGAATTCTGTGGTGTTCTGGAAACAAAGAACAAGATGGGAAGGGGACTTGGTTTAACATTTTTAAATTCTAAAGATTTATCTTTTAAATTCTCTCCTTCTTCACATATCCATGAAGGATATGTTACTGAAGGGAGTAAAATTAATTACAAGACTAACAAAAATATTTTGTTTGGTTCATGATTTCCTTTATCTGTTCAGATGTAGAGAGACACCAGCTGACATTCCTATGGGAACCTTTTACCCACACAGAAATACAAAGGTGGGTTTTTTTCCTGGCAAATATAATTTATATTAGAGGTGCCCATTTTAAGTTTGGTACCCTGATTCTAGCTATGCTAAAATAGATTTCTAGAGCCAACTCAAATAATTCAATGCATGTGCTATAGGGAGAAGACTAAATTTGTGATAAAAAAAACCCAAACAAACAACACCTAAATTCTTAAGTGTTTCTGCATGTAGTTGATGAAGCTTTTACGTTGGATTTTACATTAAAGTATTTCCAGTTGTACAGCATTTAGCTACTACGCACGAAGAGGCTTCCCTTTGGAGTTCTACTAACTAACCTGTTCTTCCTCTTTCTCCTCTTTTTAAGTAATCACTTCAGGGCTGAAAGTCTAAATTTATTCCAGTATTTATACAGTCAGGCAGTCCACAACTACTTGCAGAACTAGGTATTTCAACAATAAAAACGCCCCAAATCACAATACATACTTCTTTCACTAAAAAAAGAATAGTCATGGAATGAACTGTTAAGGCTTTGACATTTCTTAAAGAGGCCTTAAATCTAGTAAAGTATCATGACCAAGCTAATCACGAACCATAACTCACTAAAAATTAAAAAAAAAAAAAAATTCCTAGTATAATACAGTTAGGTTATACACTGTTGACAAAAGGAACAGTGCTCTAATGCATTTTTTAAATTAAAAAGAAATATATACTATTTGTTTTATATGTAACTCCATCAGCAAATTGGTGTGCTTGAATTCCCTGACAGCAATGTATGGGGAAAAAAGCTAACAATTCGATCTTAACAATTCACCCATACTACCTAGTACCTGAACTTACTACAGAAATTGATTTGTTTTAGCCTTTCTTATAAAAAAAAGTAATTTCTGAGGAAATAATAGATGACTAGGACTACTAATAAATGTTATGCTTCTCCCTTGACTAAATATCTGTAGCAAATACACAAATAACTATCATTTTAAGATGCAAAAAATACAAAGAGCAGCAAGACTCTAATCCTAAAAAAGACGTAATTATATGTTTAACTTTAAATTCAGGGAGTTGCGTTATATCCAAAAATACAGATAAAAAGTTGCAAGATTAAAAAAGAGTCCTCTTCTCATCTGGTAGTTCTGACATCATTAAAATCTCTTAAAAATACAGTTCTTAGTAATATTAAGCCCAGAATAACTCAGTTGTTACCTATTCACTCCAATAGTTACTGCCCTTTTAGGGTTTGCCTAACTGCCTTGCACCAGTTCAATATATATACAATTGAGGAAAATAAAGTATACCCCCCTGGTTTTAGTTAAAATATTAATTACATCCATTTAGCTATCTGTGTTAAAGTATCAGGCAGACACATTCTTTAGGAGCCAATGGATCCTGCAGAATGGGACTAAGTGAGGAAACCAGGATTACGTCCTACAACTCTGTGGGCTTCCCAAGCGTTCATACTGTCAAAGCACCTAAGTTGCTTCTAAAATGCAATCTGATTTGGAACAAGGTTTTAACACTGCATGTCCTTCCTTCCACAGGGATCTGTTAAACTCTGGGCTACATAGCCTAATCCTAAGCAACCTCTCTTCAACTGCTATACTAAAGTTGCTACTCTGTTTAAATTCTTTTTTCACTGGATTTTAAGTCAGAATAACTCAGTTGCTCCTGCCTACTTCAAGAAGACTTGAATCCTGGTTCCAGTGTAAAGCACCAGATCTAACGAAAAACATCACTGCAGAAATACTGTTAAAGATCATAACAATTTACAGTATAGTGATAAAGGCATTTTCTTAGAACAGATTTGGATCAAATATCTGCTGTGAAAAAGGAAGAGAAAAATCTGAATTTGCATCTACCCAAACCTATTTAGTTTATCCAGCATGATGCTCTGAATGTAGCCTGTCACCCCTAAATCTCAGCTGTGTTCCTTGTCAACCTAGTGGGCTTCTTAAGAGCAACAGTAAAAATACCTGTTTCTACATCTAAGAGAGATTGTTGTGGGAAACTACGACTTTTAGGGTTTCCCTGGGTCTTCAGGAGTGTACTGTCCTGTTGGGTCAGGAGCAGGCTGCTCACACCTGGCAGAAAATCCTACCACCTTAACACAGTAGTGCTTTCAGTCCATGCTTTTCTGTTGCAAACCAACCTCTAAATGCCACCTTCACTCAAAGTAGCTACTTGTAACTGGTTCATTCCTGCACCTCTGTGACTCCGCAAAATGTACCAAATGGGCTATGAACACACATTAACCAACAAATGGAAATTTTCAAAATCAGATGTAATAAACTACCTACATTTTTTTCTTGAATATTTGTATCGAATTTTGATCTCCGAAGTAAGGAAATGACTGAAGTGAGAAAATTACTTATGCTTTAGTAGAGCACTGAATGATACTTGTCAGTCAAGTATGACAAGTTCAAAATAACCTATTTCACACGTGACAGCTGTGCAACACCTCCAACACATATTGCTTTACGGGAGAACAGTATCTTTTCAAAGCTCAATGACATTATTGCTGTTTTGGTCAGTTTAAATCCAACCATAATCCCTTGCTATTATTTTTCGATAAGACCACTCATGTATTGACCTTCTCCTGAAATACAGGACAGGAATCTTTTATGCCTTTCCAGCTCATATAAGAAGGTGGTTATTTAAAGGGACTGACTGATGCATGTGTTTTGTGTAGTTCTATATAATTTACTGGAATCTGATGTTTGAGTCTGTCAATTCTCATACCTTCCTATAAAAGAAATTCTTTCTTTTGGTAATTACTGCACTGCAAATGTCTATACACCTCAGCAATTTCTCCACTTACCACAAACACATCTATTAGTTTCCTGCTAAAAGAATTATACCTGGGGAAAAGGCAGTCATTCAGTGTTAAGCCCTATATTAAACCAATCATGACTTTCTAAACAACAACAAATATTTCATTTAGGAAGAAAACTATGTTCAATGGTTTTAGTTCACCTCTTAAAATTAAATATAAAATACATATGCAGTTGTAGTTCAGATTAAAATATTTTTTTTAGTCATCTTCCCTCAGAAAGTGTTTTTCCTTGGTCATGTTTTGTCTGGATGCCTCAGAAAATAACACCACTCTGAAACTTCTGGTTTTGCAACATACATCCAGAAGACATTGAGAAGGAAATGGTTAAGTTTTATGACATTTATTTGGAAGTAAAAAAATCAGTTATGGACTGATTCTCATTTTCTCTGCTCTGGAATTCTGAGACAGTCCTCCAGCTGGTGCTATCTGCATATGGCTTGAAGTTCTGAGCTCTCCCAGCTCTCAAGTGTGTAGGCTGTTCCTTCACACAGCAACATGAACACCTTGTGAGGCAGGTCTGGGTGAAGGGCACCCATCTGTAAGACACTGCAACAATGCTGAGAAGGGCATGGGCTAAATGCAGTGTTCAGATTCACAGCTGTAATTTAACTCTTCATTTTATACAACCCCCAGCATACTAAGAAATTGGTTTCTGTTGGTAAAATCCCCACTGGGAAA